CCCCAAAACCCCAAAACCCCAAAACCCCAAAACCCCTTTTCATATATTACAATTTGAACCTTAGAAATGACTGATTCTGTATCTTTAACACAGAAGGAGCTAATGCTGAATGCAGGCATTGCGCTTGGAATCCTAATTCCTCTATTTTTCTGCTGCTCATTCTGGACTGTAGTCTTCTACATTGGAGCAATTAGGCTGATAGGAAATATATCCTTTCTGTACAGAACTGTCAAAGAGTACTATTTGACAAAACAATTAGATCTGAGTCAAAGATATGGCGAAGGGACCTATGCACTCATCACTGGTGGAGCCAATGGAATTGGCTTGGAATATGCAAATCAACTTGCTAAAATGAACTTCAACCTTGTGATCATTGATTTGAACCAAGAAGCATTGGACAAAGCAAAAGAAGATATTACTAAAGCCTCTCCGATAAAAGTTAGCACAATTCAAGCTGATATTACAAGACTTAGATCCATTGCAGACTATAATGATTTATTAAAGCCTCTCAGAAGCTTTGATATTTCGGTCCTAATAAACAACGTTGGAGCTGCCAGCACCCTCCCGTTCAACGAGGCGACTCCGTCTTTCGTCAGCACGATCATGGATCTTAACATAGTCTCTGTGGTTGCCTTCACTTCTTTATTTTATGAAAGACTCCTGGCAAGAACGAATGGGGATAAGCGTAGCGCTATTATAACTGTATCTAGTTCGTCGTCATATTACCCAGTTCCAAACTTCTTCTTGTATTCAGCGACCAAGGGCTTTGCTAGTTATTTCATGAGCACCTTTATGAAGGAAAAAAGTCCTAAGATTGATGCTCTCACCGCCTGCCCTGGATTTGTATCTACTAGCATGACCGGATACAGGAAAGATAGCATCACTATTGGACCTGACCTCTGTGTAAAAAATTCGCTCAGATCTCTTGGAAATTTCAGCACCACTGAAGTGACGTATAAAGTTAGGATTATGATATCCGGAATCATGCAAGGAATATGGTACATCGACTCTTGTCTATTCAATAAATTCCTTGAGTCATTAGGTACTTCAGACGCTAATAAAAAGGCGTTTGAAGTAATGTCAAAAAGAGAGAGGCAACTCTTCAAAGATTAACCATTCTGTTCATTGTCTGAACCTTTTTTACAGGAATTTTGTCCTCCAATAACTTAATTTTCCAAGGGGTTTTGGGGTTTTGGGGTTTTGGGGTTTTGGGG